CATGTGCCTCCCTTCCCTCCCTCCGTAGTGGCGCCGTCACATTCTATACAACTATTTCTGATAGTGCAACTAGTGGTTGGTCACTGACGACCTTCCCTTCTCCCTCCCCCCCCTGCTCGATGGCAAAACAAATTTTCGGAAAAATTCCGGAAAATGGAAAAAGTGGTAGGAATTTGGGTAAATCTAAGGAGGTTTTAGGCAGGATTTGGAAGGAAGGTCGTATTTTCCTCGCGGGTTCCTCTCGTTTCCTATGAGCCATATACGCCCCAGCTCGAAGAGCTCGATGGTGTCAGTACGGGGAACTAGAGGGGATCGTAGGCCACCTTCTAAGGGGGAGGGAGGTCGTATGAACTCGACCAAAATCCCCAACCAATGATGTGCCCTGGTCGCGAAAGTGGGAAAACCCTAAGTATCCGGACCGGACTACCCACTTGTACAAAGAAATAAATCTGCCTTTTGGCTGGTCACAAAGTGTGCCTTTAACGCTTAATTGGTTTCAACTTGCTAACCTTTCGATTCTCTGGCAAGGGTAGATAACTGCTAAGAAGAAAATAGGCATTGTATGGTAGCCAGACCACCATGAATATAAACACCACAAGAGCCAACATGAAGGCAGCCTGAAAAGTACTTCCATTGCTGAAATCTGTGAAACGCCCCAGAACTGAACATGATAATAGCAACAGAAAAGCATAATTCTTGCGATATCTCTCTTACTAAAACGATGGGTGTAGGTAGAGGCGATGGCGAGGTGATGTAGTGGCAAGTGGCACGCTTACCACGTGCGGTCCGGGGATCGAATCCTGGATCAGCTCCCGCTCGGGCCAATCAAAGCTTCTACTCCCCGGTAAACTGGTTCCAGGTTCGTGTGGGAGAATAGGAACACGGAGTTGTATATCAACTGGCCCTCGCAAGTCATTGTATAGGCCACATCGCATTCAATAAGCCACGATTCTGAATAAAAGGAGAATGCGTGCCGCATCTCAAAAAGGGATAATTGACGGCAGAGGCTTGATTTTCATCTTTAATGTAGATCAGAAGAAAATCGCAGAATCAGAACCGCACAAAATTTTTCTTAGAATTTCTCTGTAAATTAGCTCTGCTTGTCTGCTATAAACTGATTCAAAAGCCGATTTCTGAATGGAAGTCGCAAATACGGCGCATCTTGAAGAAGAGGTTGATTGAC